TTCCCTTCTGTTGTAGGTTTTTACGTTGCTCTCCTTTTGATGAATACAAAGTGTGGAAGTACCAGGTAGATAACAACACAAAGAAGGGAGGAGAGAGGCTAAGCCTCTTAACCAGGAGCCTCTTATTACGGAGAACCAAGGACCAGCTGGATTCAACTGGCAAGCCCTTGGTAAGAACTTCACCCTCCACAACCAGACAATCATTCTGTTGTTTTTGTTGCAGCAGCCAGTCAGTTCTTCACATGCACAAGTTTTTTTATGAGTGGTTTTTTCTGTCTACTGTAGTCTCTTGAGCAAGAGGAACGAATGCCTGTGGGATGCTTTGGTTGCTTATCCAGAAAGCAGAAATATTTAATAATAACAGAATAATTAAACCTTTTAGTTATAAATCACATGCAGACGAGGATATGTCAAGTAATTGCAAGTAGATGCCCACTTAATGGAAAGTTAGTCTAGGTCTCTGAGCTAGCCTACATGGCTGAGAATCAAAGCTGCTGTGTGTCAAATGGATCTGGTGCGTGCTGGGGCATTGGCTTTCTGCATTACTCTTTACAAATAATCTGTTAAACTGAGTATTAGGTCATTGGTGTGTCTGTAAGCCTTTAAAAGGTGGAGTTTTGGTGTACTGTCTGATTCTGAATGGGGAACTGAGAAGCTACTTTTACAGCGCAGTAAATGAATCCCTCCATGGTAGCTATGTAGCAGTCAGTGCTTAGTTGCTCATGCCTTTTGCTGTCGGATGATTTGGAATAAAGATTTTTATCTTGAGTGTTACCCAGAGAACTCCAAGTAGCCTGATTATCTCTGTTGTGTCGTAATTGCATTAATGTGAATAACTTAATGAAGAAACAAACAGCCATCTTCTGAAACTCAGAATACTATGTTAAATCTTGGAACACTGGTGTTTGTGATGATGTATAAGATTTTTACACTATACACATCTGATCCTGTGTATTTTTACTTCAGGTATCTCTGCCCCAGCGTAGGATGCAGTTGCATCAGTTAAAACTTTCAGCAGAGGAGCAGTCTGTATACAATGTGCTCTTTGCAAGATCCAGGTATGAATGTGGGAAGAGATAAAGTATTTTGTGGTTTTGTTTCTTACTAGTATGAAAAATCAGAAAGAGAAATCCACGTTAGATAAGAAGAGCTTTTGGACAGATTCCTGCTAATTTTTTCCCTTTCTGACTATCTGTCAATCATGTTTGAGAATATATTGCTTGTTCTGGTAATAGTTGAAACTGATGCATTCCTTTTCTCTTATATGCTCATGCCTTGTACGAGCTTCTAGCCTTTCACTTAGTCTCATTGATTTCAAGACTCCAAAGATTTGGAACTGCAACAGTAGTTCTTAAATGATGATGTGCTGGCACCTGTAAAGGAGAGAATTTCTCTTCTTTGCCCTGTGATATTTATACAGTCAGAAATTATGCTGGCCTCTCCAGATGGCTGTAATGCAAGCCAGCATCACTTTGTGTTCTCCGAGGGTCTCTTTCAACAGCGTTGCTGTAAAGAGTCTTCCTTCCTTTTAAATATACATTTAAAGATGTCCTTTTATTATGAGGAATGTTGTCCATTGGGCCCTGGCTCTTACTATACTCAAGGTATTCCAATAAGCGGACTTGCTTCCTCTTGTGTTTTCCAAAATGGATCTTGGTTTTGATCATATTCAAGTTAAACAAAACTGAGGGTTTTTTGTGATCGTTTTCTACTAAATGATTAATGAAACCTTCCTTACCTTAATGCATCACCAGCTTGCTTGTTAAGCTCAGGTCCCTCTTGTCTTTTTTCCTGCTGTAAATCCCACAGTCTTTGTCTTGTTTTCCTAGGTCAACGCTACAATCCTACCTAAAGAGACAAGAGCAGAAAAATGAAGGCAGAGAGTATGCTGGTGGTAACCCGTTTGAGAAAGGTTTGAAAATACCCTCCCCTGAAAATATTTGCAGAAGTGACTCTTAAGTGCACAATTAAGGAGGGGGAACAGACCTGGCCACATGAGGTCAGGACTTAGAAATTCTTTGGAAAATGCTTTGCTGCTCCCCTGATGTTATGAAGAATCCTACTATAATATTCCACAAGCCTGTTCTCACTGTTGTGGCTCTGGGCAAATCTCTTAACATCCCTGGGTCTAAAACTCCCTTCTGAAATAAAGGTCTAATTGCTCAGGGGAGAGAGGTCAGTATTAGTATAAGGTATGTGGTACTCTGATTTGTGTTGTCTTTTTTTTTTTCTTTTCTTTTAAGTGGGGTTTGATGAGTTCCTGTGTTAAATCAGGTATTTGCTTGCCTATTGGTTCTTGTTTCTTATTGATGAAACTCTTGCTGGAGGTGGCTGGGCAGTGCTTGGAAATGCCTTCGAGAGCTCTTGATGTTTTGTCTTCCTTCCTTGGCAGCTGCACAGGAGTTTGGGCTCAGTAAAAAGGAATTTCTAGCAGGCTCCCAAAGTGCCTCCCAGGTCTCAAGTACTGTCCACGTCTTGTCCATGTTGTTGAGGCTCCGTCAGTGCTGCTGCCATCTCTCCTTACTGAAAGTGGTAATTGCATTGTGTTGTAGTGGTATGGGGTTTTTTGTAGGGATTTTTTAAAGTGTTTGTGTAAGTCAACAGACTTTGTAACACTGTTGCATCATTTAGCTAGGCATGTATGAACTGAGCCATTTCTAGGACAGTGTGTTTTACAGCCTGAGAGGTTTTAGATGGGCATACTTCCTTACTGAAGTGTTCCCCAGCATGACCTGCATGGGCTGTGTGTGTCTGGAAATACCTTTATTCAGATTAAAAAAAAAAGAGTTTGAATGGCAAAGAAGTAGCCTTGATCTTAACCTAGTCTTGAAAAGTGCACAAGTACACAAATGTAGCCTATTTCAAAGGCTTGTGTGTTGGAGAGCTCTGTAAGTGCCTTGACTGAAGTTGCCTTGCATGAAGTAGACTAATCTTTCAAAAGCTCTTTGCTCTGTCATATAAAGCAGCTGTAGAATAAGTCCAGATACTAAGGGAACAGGCAGGGATTTATCTTCTAACATCTTTTATCCTGCAATTGTTAAATGCTATGGGAGGGGGAATCTGAGGAGACTGGACTACAGAAAATGGCTGAGCTCACATGCTTTCCCT